CCCAGTGCTTCTCGTGTGCTCCCCACTTCTCCCAATGGCCCCCGCCCAGTGCTCCCAATGCCCCCCCTTCTGTCCCCCCCCCCAGCCAAAGGGGACCCTGATGCCACCTTGGTATTTCCCCCAGTGTCCCCTGGTGTCCCCCAGTGCTCTGCCGGTCCTCCCAGTGTCCCCCAGTGCCCTGTCCCTGGGTGTCCCTGTGGTGTCCCTGTCCTGTGGGTGCCCCATATCCTGCTGTCCCCCATGGCTTGGGTGGCCTTGTTCCTGGGGTGTCTCCTCCATGTCCCCATGGCGTCCCCATCCCAGGATGTCCCCATCCCATGGTGTCCCCATCCTGTGGTGTCCCCATGGTGTCTCAAGCGTGTCCTGTCCCGTGATGTCACCAGGGTGTCCCCATCCCATGAGTACCCCATCCCATGGTGTCCCCATGGTGTCTTGAGGGTGTCCCTGTTCTGTGGTGTCCCCATCCCTGTCCTGTGATGTCCCCAGAGTGTCCCCATTCCATGGGTGCCCTGTCCCCGTGGCATCCCCATCCCATGGGCCCCATCCCATGGTGTCCCCATCTCATGGATGCCCCATCCTGTGGTGTCCCCAGAGCGTCCCCATGCCATAGGTGCCCCATCCTATGGTGTTCCCTGAGGTGTCCCTGTCCCATGGTGTCCCCAGGGTGTCCCCATCCCATGGGTGTCCTGTCCTGTAATGTCCCCAGGGTGTCCCAATCCCATGAGTGCCCCAATCCCATGAGTGCCCCATCCTGTGGTGTCCCCAGGGTGTCCTCATGCCATGGTGTCCCCCGGGGTGTCCCTGTCCCATGGTGTCCCCAGGACATCCCCATCCCATGGGTGCCCCATCCCGTGGTGTCCCCAGGGTGTCCCTGTCCCATGGTGTACCCAGGGTGTACCCATCCCAGGGTATCCGCATCCCATGGTGCCCCAAAGTGTGCCTGTGGGTGGCATCCACTGATGGGACTGTGTCCCTGCAGATATCCCCTCGGTGACACCACGCTTGGCCACCCGCAACCAGACGTCCTTCCGTGTGACCTGGCCCCGTCCCTCTGTGCTGGTGGATGGCTACCAGGTGGCCCTTATCCCCCTGGTGAGCTGGGGACGGGGACGGGGGTGGGGACAGGTCCTCAGTGCTGTGATGGCCCAAACGTGGCCCCAACGTAGCCTTCATCTCCAGGATGAGGTGGCATCTGTGGCCACCCACTGCTGCCCCTTTGGGGGACACCATAAGGGTGTCCCTGTGGTGGCCCCAGCATGTCCCCAATGTGCCTGTTGTCCCCAGAGCAAACCAGTGGTCAGGCCAGCTCCTGATGCCTAACTTGGGTATGGGGACATCGCCCCAGTGTGTCCCTTGTCCCCAGGATGAGCCGTGGTGGTGTCATCCATCTGCTGCCTGGCTTAGGGATGGGTCCCCCCATGGTGTCCCCCCATGGTGTCCCCAATGTGTCTCCAATGCATCCCTTGTCCCCAGGATGAGCCAGCAGCTGTGGCCACCCTCCTGCTACCTGGCTTGGGGACAGAGATGTGTCCCCAGCGTGGTGTCCCCAGTGTCCCCAACATGTCCCCTGTCCCCAGGATGAGCCACCTGCCTGCAGCCCTGCTTAGGGACCAGGACATGTCCCCACTGTGGTGTCCCCAATATGTCCCCAGTGTGTCCCCAACATTTCCCCTAGCCCCAGGACAAGCCATGGGCTGCAGCCACCCTGCCTGGCTCAGGGATGAGGAGGTGTCCTCACCACACTGTCCCCAGTGTGTCCCTCCTTAGCTGTCCCCAAAGCATCCCCAGTGTGTCCCCAAGATGTCCCCCAGCCCTGGGAGAAGCTCTTGGCTGTGGTCACCTACCTGCTGCCTGACTCAGGGCTGGGTCCCACCGTGGTGTCCCCAGCGTGTCCTTGGCATGTTCCTTGTCCCCAGGACGAGCCAGCAGCGATGACCACCCATGAGCTGCCTGGCTCCGCTGTCACCTTCGAGGTGACAGGACTGGCACCCGGCCACGCCTTCGAGCTCTTCATCCAGGCCCAGCGGGAGCAGCACCTTGGGGCGCCCAGCACCCTGCGCGTCCGCACCCGTACGTGTCACCTGCTCAGCGCAGGGACCGCGAGGGCACGGGCAACGGGGATGGGGACACTGCAGGGATGGTAATGGGCATGAGCATGGGGACAGGCATGGGGATGGCACAGGGATGGGGTTGGGGATGGTGACGGCATGGTCATGGGTGTGAGGACAGGGATGGGGATGACATGGGCATGGGGACAGCATGGATAGTGTGGGGACAGGGATGGGGACAGGGTTGGCATGGACATGGAGACAGGGGTGGCATGGGGACAGGGATGGCACAGGCATGGAGATGGCACAAGGATGGGGACAGCATGGGCACAGGCATGGTGACAGGGACAACATGGGGATGGTGACTGGGACAATACATGGATGGGGACAGCATGGGGATGGGGATGGCATGGGGACAGGGCCACCACAGGGCCAGGCATGGGGACAGGGATGATGCAAGCATGGGGATGAGGACAGCATGGACATGGGGACAGGGACGGGATGGGGATGTCAGGGCCACAGGGATGGGGATGGGGACTGGCATGGGGACAATCTCTGGGATGGGCATGGGGACAAGGACGGTGCCTGAAGCCTCTGTCTGTCCCCACGTGTCCATGTGTCCCCGTGGCTCTGTGAGCCCCCATGCGTCTGTCTGTCCTGGTGGGTCTGTGTGTCACCAGTCTGTCCCTGTGGGTCTGTGAGTCCCCTTGGGCCCGTCTATCTGCGTCTACCCCCGTGTGTCCCCGTGGCTCCACATGTCCCCACATCTCCTAGTACTTCCCCATGCGTCCCTCTGTTGCCTGGGCCCGGATGTCCCCAGTTTGTCCCCGTCAGTCCATCTGTCCCAGTCTGTGCCCATGAGTCTGGGTGTCCCCAGTCTATCCCCATGGGTGTCCCCAGTCTGTCCCTATGTTGTCCCCGTCCCTTCCCGTGTCCATCCATCCCTGTGTCCCCGCTGTGGGTCCCTGGGCTCTGGCAGACGGGGACTTTTGGGGATGAGTTGATGACCCTGGTCCCCTTTGCTCTCGCAGTGCTTGCTCAGACTCTGCCCACCCACGGGGGGTCCCCAGGGTCGCCTCAGGGTTCCCTGGGGTCCCCGGCATCACCAGTGGCCCCAGCATCACCATCAGCCCGAGGGTCTCCGGCATCCCCAAGGTCCCCAGTGTCACCAGCATCCCTGGGGTCACCAGGGTCCCTGGGATCACCGGCATCACCAGTGTCACCGGATGCATCCTTGGGGTCATCAGGGTCTTTGGGGTCACCAGCTTCCCCAGCATCTCCAAGGTTTCCAGCGTCCCCAGTAACTCGAGGGTCCCCGGGGTCCCCAGCATCCCCGAGGTCCCCAGTGTCACCAGTGTCCCCGGCATCACCAGTGTCCCCAGAATCCCAGGGGTCAGCAGTGTCCCCAAGGTCGCCAGAGGCACCAGTATCCCCAGTGTCCCCAAGGTCACCTGCATCTCCACGGTCCCCAGCATCACCACAGTCCCCTGTATCACGTCCATCTCCGTGGTCCCCAGTGTCCCCAGCATCCCCACTGTCCCCAGTGCTCCCGGGTGGCCCATCCCTGCATGACCTGGGGGCCAAGCTCTCCTCCTACAATGGCTCCTTGCTGCAGCGCCTGGAGAGCCACCTCCAGGCTACGAACTTCCCCCTCCGGGGCAACCAAACGGTGCCGGCGGTGGCCCGTGCCATCCTCTCTT